ATAAAATCGGGATGCGCGAGTTGCTTGACTTTGGTGACCAGCCCGGTTAATCGCCCCACCATGTTTGCTGCGCCATCCGTGCAGATCCCGACACACTTCCTCCAGTCTATCTTGTGTTTCGAAAAATAATCGTTGAGAGCCGTGAAACAAGCTGAACTTGTTGTTCTACCCGGCAGATCTAGCGCACACAGGAACTCTTCCCGTATAGATGTTCTCTCGGCGAACCTCACGAAACAAAGTAGGATGGCTCGATTGGAGACATCAGTCGATTCATCAACCTGCATCGAGAAGTGGGAGGTGTTCTCAATCATCTGCACAAGCTGACTCTCCACATCAGCGGACATTCTCACCATCCTCCGCTGAATAGTTCGAGCGGATAGGGGAATTCTCTTTATTTTCTGCGTCTGAGCTGCACCGAGGAGTATTTCGGAGGCAGTGATGAGACAAGGCTTGATCAGTTTTTCGCCGATAGTGAATGGTTTTTTGTTTTTCGCAATCGATAAGGCTATTTCATACGAAGCTCTCAGTATTTTTCTTTCATCGAGTCGCTCTCGGCTTCCGTCTTCTCCTGCAATGTCCTTATAGAGCTGCTCGAAATACTCGATCGACTTCAGAGCCAGATTTGAGTGTTGCGAGCGGAAATGCCTGAGAAGTTTTGATGGTTTCATGGCATCATTCGATAAACTTTTCTCGCATACAAGGCACAGAGGCCGCGGAGCGGTTTCGCTATCGGGCTCCACGACGAACCCGAAGGCCGAATAGTCCGAGGAGTACTTCCTGATAAATTTGGCCCTCTTCGTGGGCCGATTCTCGGCAGAAGCACTTTTCCTTCTGATGCTCGCGTGACTTGATCCCTGATTTTCTTCGACGATCGCGGCGATATTTCGTGTGCTTCGCGATTCTTGACTCCCATTATCGCCACCGGACATGCAGTCACTATTTACTATTTCTTTCATCCTGATCATTGTCACTCATTTCGGAAGATCAGCCTGATTCGCGTGATTCTTCCCGCTCATGCCGAGGCGCTCTGAAGATTCGGGGTGCTTCGAATTATTTAGCATCGAAGTCGTGCAAGACTGCACATGCGACCTAACATTCGCTAACGTCAGACACCCGAGCTTGAGAAAAGGAGTTTTTGCAAGAACTTGTTTCCGAGGTGTACATGTACAGGCGAGATCAAACGAGCGATTCACGGATGTCCTTGCGATTTGCGATATTTCAATGTAAAATGTGAACGGAAAAGTAATGGGAGAGCTTGCCTTTTGGCGGTCATCAAATGTCCTCGATCAGACCTCAGACTCCACGCGCCGTTTCGAGGATTCGGACCAATCACGTTCGTGGACGGAGTGAAGTGACCGAGAGTACGGCAATATTTTTAGAAACGAAGACGACAATGCTACAACCGCGCGAGGAATGCTCCAACAAAAGACGGCTCATATCATCAGAGCGCGCGGAAACAGCGGAATTTGAACCAGGAAGACATCTCGACAGGAAAACCTACGATAATATGCCTGAGATGGCCAAAATAGGATAGATGTTCAGCTCGACGGTCCGCGGGGGAGAAACCAGATTTTGACGGTCCGCGGACTCGGAGAAGTCGCCGTCCCCTGCTCTAAACCAAGTGTGTAACTACCTGGCCGACATCGCCCGCAGTGGATACTCATACTCAGCAACAAATTCCTTCCGTTCTTGCCTGTCCTACTACCTTCAACCAAAAAAAAAAAAACTTTTTCGGGCTGATCCACACAGCCAAGGTTTAACGTCCCGGGTACTGTTATTCACATTGCTTCCGAGGACGAATCCATAGAGCAAATATACCCAGGAGGATCAAGGCCGAGTACCTGCATATTTTTCCGGCAGTAGGGATCGAACCCACACCGCCTCCCGCGCGAGCGGCTACTACCTTCAACCAATCGACACGTTCAACGTGGGCAAAGGAAAGCACCACAGTCGGATGATATCATCCGACTGTGTGCCGCCTAATGAGAGGGATCTTCAACACACATCCACCTTCGAAGCCGCGACCGCCCGTATGGGACGTCGAAGTTCTTCTCGCTCACTCGGACTCCTGGGGTCCCTCTGACGCGCTAACCCTATCTCAGACAACGAACCGCGCGCTTCTTCTTCTACTCTTAACTTCGGCCGCTCGAGTCGGTGAGATTGCCGATCTTTCTTACCCACCACTCTCACGGGAGCTCCACATGTGGGAATTCGCTTATACCCGAAACCTCACGAAAACCAGCCGACCAGGCCACCATGCGTCCTCTCTGGTCATAAAATCCTACTCCATCAACGCACTCCGCTGCCCAATATTAGCCCTCACCGCGTACTGCAACATGACAGAACTACTCCGCAGTCAACCTGGGTCACTGTTTCTTACTACCCGCAAACCCTACCATCCTGCCTCCAAGGATGCACTAGCCCGATGGGTCAAGGATTCCCTCAAGTCGGCCGGCATCGACGCATCGATCTATACTGCCCCCTCAACCCGAGCTGCTTCGACCACCGCAGCACACCTGCGAGGACTCCAACTCCCCGATATTCTCCGAAGTGCTCAATGGACACGAGCCGCCACATTCTATAGACATTATTTCCGTCCCCCCACCCCTTCGCCAATGTCTTGCGCCGTGCTCAATCCACACCGTTAAAATCGCTATCTGTTCTCGGTGAACGCCGAACTCGACGAAGTGGAATTCGTCAGTCTAGTCCACCACGCAAAGGGAAGACTTGACTGCAATTCCATGAGAAGAGAGAGGCGTTCACCGACAGCTCCCACCCACTCCGCCCAAAACTGTGATCTTCTTTTCGTACCTCCGCAGGCACTTCGCGGAACTAACGCAAATTCGCACGGCTCGACACCAAGTCAGTCGAAGTCCGACGCAGAAATTCTCGCGGCTCCAGGCCAAGTCGGCCACAATCCGCCTCATAAGCAAGCGCTCCACAAACCGCGCACAACATACTTTACCGACACCTGCGTGTCGCTTCTTTAATGGATGATCTCACTAAGCCCGTGATATTTTATCCGTATACATTTGTTGCTCAAACATCTCAATAACCAGGCCTCTTCAAGGGCCCTGATCTCCCTCACAATAAAAAGAGATATTTACCCACCCACCCGCAACTCTTCCATTCCCCACAGCTTAGATAAACTTTGCCTGGCAGCGACTTAGGTATACAGCTCTCGCCTCGCGTCATACAACAGGGGAGAGAGCCGGACGACCAGACGGCTCCTCTTGCTTGTTTTTTCCTTTAAAGACCGCCTGCTCGCCTATCGGATCACAATCGCTATCTGTTCTCGGTGAACGCCTCTCTCTTCTCATGGAATTGCAGTCAAGTCTTCCCATTGCGTGGTGGACTAGACTGACGAATTCTGCGACAGATCAGGCCATCGGTGCCCACAATGGAGGTGTCCTCGGATCTCGGATTGCGGAAGAGATCGAAAAGGGACGAATACGGATCGGAGGTTGTGGGTTGTGAATCGGTGGTTGTCGGGTCTGTTGGTGTTGGGATGGAAGAAAAGGGGAAGGAATCGTGATGGGAGATTTCTGAAACAAAAAAAAGAGATACCACATGGTCGTTCACTCTGTTTATTCTTCTCTGATCTCTGAGATAATTCGGATCAGTCGAACCGTAAGACAGAGAACTGTGAACGAACCAACGTTGACGAACAGGCCGACTATGTTGGACAGAGGCTGGTACAGAAGGACGAGGGACAGCAGGATCAGCAGCACCTGGAGGAGGAGGAGGATGCGGTCCGGACGTCTTGGGTGCTCGAGCGGTGGGCTGGGCGGTCGTCGGGGCGTCTCGGGGTCCGCGTCCTCATCGCTGAGCTCATTGGCCAGCCTACGAAGCCTCCGGATCTGATCGACACTGGCTTGTCGTCGAAGTTGTTCTGTGTGTTCGGTGATGCTCTGTTCGACGTCTTGAATCATCTGGATGACTCGTCGTCTTTTGAGCTCTCTCGAGTTCCGGTATTCCCTGTCTTAGTCCTGCATCTCGATGTCCATTGGAGTCTGCAGATGTAGACATTCACATTTGTCAACGTCGATGGGATTCGTGGGGCAACATCCGGGTAGATTGCGAAGTCTTTTTGCGACAGACATATCGGGGGCGAGCCTACTCGGGAATTTTACACGTTGAAGCCATGAGGCCGAAATTGTTATGAGGCAGTGCTTCCTCTGCTGGAGTGCTCTATATGTAGGCGAGATATGACTCTATTAAGGGGAAAATAAGGACGATTTCCAAGGATGAACATACCACTGACTTTTCTCTTGATCGACGATCGGCGGACGAAGCGTGTTGTTCGTACTCGAGAACGAGTTGAAAAGAGTTTTAACGGAAAAATATCGCCCTTTTATAGGACTCTGGTTAAAACCGGAAGTTCGGGAAAGGGTCTTCATTTCTACCTCGGAAGAATGGAATACAGTGTCCCTGATGTAGTGAAATGGCTAGGTTGTACGCATTGGAGACTTTTGTACAAGTGAGAAGGGATGTCAAGGGAATATTCACAAATTAGGTACCTAGACTATAAACGTCAGTCGGAACCAAGATACCAAGTACTACCTACACACTCTCTTGTTGGGCCGATTTTGGCTTCTAAAAGCCGCTCAACATTTGAACTCATCTCTATTGCCCTCTAACTTCCGGAATTTCTGCGGTCAGGCGATGACTTGGGAAATGTCGTGGAAGATCTTCCCCACACAGGAGTCTGAGTTGTTAGAGGTCTCCGCGTGAACTCAGTTTGAAAGAGTTTCGAACCCGTCGTGACGACTGCCGGATCGCGCACCGAATTGAGAGACGGTGACTCTGATGATGATCTGATGATGGTCGGGGGAATCGACGTCGTCTCTGTCATTGCTGGTGTTTCCGAGTGATAGGGAGTCGACGGGTCCATTGTGTTCGTGATGATGGAGTTAGCACTGGATGACTTTGTGGAGATTTCTGTGTTCCGGGGATTTGTCTCGGTTGCTTCCGCGGCACCCTCGGAGGGTGATGACGTCATGTACTCTGGGAATGTAAAGAGTAAGGAACAGCAGCTTTCCCAGGATAAGTACCGAAAAATACTATCAAAGATCGGAAAGTCAGAGATTCTGACAGGATTGAGGACTCTGCACAACTTACTACTGATCATGAGAACGGGTATCTCAACACCGATGATCATCAGAACCAATGACAAAAACAGCGGACGGACTGGGACGGAATCCTACCATTCATCGTCCACGCCTATAGGACAGCCCCTCAAAAATCGGCTAAATTTTCGCCCTTCTTTCTAGTGCACGGCCGAGAGGCAGAAAACACTCTGAGCACAAGCATTCCAGCTCCACCGGTCTACAAGACCGTGACAGCTAATACCTACGGCGAAAAACTGCATCGGCACATACTCATCGCCAGAGAGCTAGCTAAGGAGTTGGCTGACAAGGAAAAAGACGACAACAAAACAAGCTACGACAGCCGCAGAAGGGAAAACGTATTCAAGTTGGGCGACCTCGTATTGGTACTATATCCATTCAGAAAGGTCGGCCAATCGGACAAGCTACAAAGTCCGTTCTTCGGACCATTCATAATCAAGGAGCAGAGGGGACCGGAGACATTTCTGGTTGCACCGGTTGAACAAGCAACACTGCCTGGGCCCAGGACGAAAGAACATACCGAACACTCGTCACGGCTGAAAGTGATACAAGCTGACGAACCCGGCGCCGGACAAATGGAAAACGACCCAGCAACTGCTCCAGCGAATCTACCAACAGGCATCACGGACCCATCGGAAACAGCGAATCCAGCAACCGAGCATCGTTCGGATCCTGCGAGAACAGATTCCACGGACCAAGCAAGATCTCGCAGAAAGGAACTAGCGATTCCAGCAGAAGCGGACCCTGCAACACGATCGAGAACGGAGCTAGCGACACCAGCAGACTTGGAACCAGCGGCAACAACGGGGATGGACCCAGCAATACCTACAGAACACCGAACCCAAACAACAGAGCTGGAAACTAGGTATCCCAGAAAAGTCCGACAACGGCCCCGGTACTTAATCGAATATACGTAGGGGGTCATGGCAGAGCCGGGTCGGTTCTTCTTTGGGAGGGGGGTAATATAGGATCGTTAATTGGACATCTCCAAATATAGGTGCTGTTATTTACGAAAAATGCGCGCTCCATCGGCCGCCGCCGAAGGGCGAGGGCAGATGGAAAGAATGGTAGAGAAACCTCAGAGAGCAGAATCCGCGCGCGTGAAAACTCTCTCTTACGTTCTGCCTGCCTAAGTGCACACGGTCGCCTCACAGCGTTAACCGGCGTAGGAAGAATAAAGTGCCAACGGGCAAGTATCGAACGACCCCCCGGATCATCCCTACAATATATTCCCAAGCCGAATCATGCAATGCTCATGGATCAATTGTATCGCGCACGACAGAATCGGAATGAGTCGCTCGAGGAGTTCGCTTGACGAATCGAGAACATCTGCATTCAGTTAAGCCTGAGCGAGGACAGCATCAAGGATCACATACTGAGAGGATTGACATCTGAGTATTCCTTCTTGGTCCACGAGGTTCGGGGTGGGAAACACGACGATGTCACCGCTCTGGTTCAAGACATCAGTGATTGCATGGCTTCCAACAAACTACGGTCGGGCCATAGGTCGGATCGAGAAGACGCTCGGAGGCCGTCGTCGTTTTCCAGTGAAGCAGTCAATGGAGCTCACCGGAGAATCAGATGTTATAAGTGTCATCAAGAAGGACATAAAGCAATGCAGTGCTCGTCGGAGCAACCCCTGCTGATGATTCAGGAAGCTGAGGGGAGGACTGGTGAGAAGCCAGCCACTCCGATACAGTCCTCCTCGAAGAGGGAATCACTTTGGCCTGCATCCGTGAAGGAACGGCCGAATCAACCGAAGAATGTAACAGCGGGCAGTTCTGGATCAAACTTCAACGATAAGAGTAAGATTATATGTTTCCGATGTCAAAAAGCCGGTCATTTTGCATTTGAGTGTGCTGCGATCAAGCGAGTAGAAATCGAGCATCAGAATAATGCTCAGGCGTCGGACAGTGAAGATCGACCAGCGAAACTTATTGAGGTGAACGGCAAAACATGGACGGCCCGAGTGGATACGGCCCCGGGTTTCGGTTCTAACCGAGGGAGCGGCTCGGGAGTTGAGCTTGGAAATATCCCCGAGTTCCATGAAAGTTGTCACTGGAGTCGGGAAAGGATTGTGCTCACCTATCGGGCAGGCTCATGTTGCAATGGGAGTTGACGGAGCAGTCCATGAGCAGGTGAGATTGACGATCCTCCCAGATGAGGCTCTTTACTCAAGCGATATTCTGATCGGGAAGGATTTGCTCGACACCGGACTGATAACGATATATTTCGACGGCTCGGCGTGGATACTGAAGCCCGAGATATTCTTGCAATTGATGCTCGGACGGATGGGAGGAGAACAAGCTCAGGGCAAGAACAAGAATGTCAGCGTATTGACTGTGGAGGATGTGGAGATTCCTGCAAGATCCATCCATTTCATAAGAGCGAAGTTGAACGAAGTTTGCGGTGGGACGCTCATGATCAAGCATATGGATGATGTTGGAGTGCTATGCGGGGTTCGGGACGGAGATACGCTTATCCCGATTTCGAACACGGAGTTGAAGAAGAAGGTGATCAGCCGAGGATCGGTATTTGCGAAGGGTCGCTTGCTGGAGGCAGGAGATATTTTCGAATTGGAGCCGGTGACGAAGTTTGGCGAGGGAGCGGTCATCAGACAGATAAGAGAACGACCGATGTTAAAGGCAGAAGATCTCAAGGTGGAGAAAAGCGTACCGACTCGTCTCGTAGCGGAATTGGTAGAATTGGTGAACAAGTATGCCGATGTCGTTGCTGTGTCGATGGAAGATCTGGGTAAAACCCAAGTGGCTGAGTGTACTATCGAGGAGATGGCGGGAAGTGGACCAATATGGGCGCGACCGTACAGGCTCTCTCTGGCTGAACGAGATGCACTCAAGGATATCGTGAAGAAGATGCTCGCGGCTGGAATAATTCAGGAATCAAACTCGCCGTATGCGAGTCCTGTCATGTTGGTCAAAAAGAAAGATTCCACCTTCAGGCTGGTCATTGACTTCAGGAAATTAAACAGTCAGACGCTGAGGAAGAATTTTCCGATCCCGTTGATAGAGGATATCTTGGATGCCGTTGGAGGACGACAAATACATACGACAATGGATGTAGCCTGGGGATACTATCAGATCCCTATGGCCCGTGATGCATGCCACAAGGCAGCATTCATAACACCAGACAGGCATCATGAGCCCCTGGTGATGATGAATGGGATAGCCAATGGCCCAGCGGTCTTCCAAGAGCTTATGAACAAGGTGCAGGGAATGATTGGCAGGGATGTTGTCTTTCCATTCGTGGATGATATGATAACAGCCACGGATAAATTCGATGTTCACTTCAGTTTGGAGAAGATCTTCTCGGTGTTACGAGAAGTAGGCTTGAAGATTCGATTGAGCAAATGCGAGTTCTTCATGAAGACAGTCGACTTTCTGGGTTTCACGCTATCCAAAGACGGAATCCGGCCAGGAAATGCGAAGCTGAAGGCGATTGAGGAGTATCCGGTGCCGAAGAGTGTTCCAGAAGTGAGAAGTTTCCTGGGTCTGGCTGGATTCTTCAGGAGGTTCATCAAGGGATTCTCAACCGTCGCGAATCCCCTGACATCAATGTTGAAGAAGAATGCCGTCTTCGATTGGAATCAGGAGTGTGAGGATGCATTTGAGCAGCTGAAGCAGAAACTCATGGCCAAGCCTGTCTTGACCAGCTTCACCAGGGGGAATCCTATTCAGCTCCACACACTGATGCGAGTGGAGTGAGATTGGGAGCTGCCCTGATGCAGAAATATGACGGAGCATGGAAAATGGTGTGCGCGGCAAGTCGGCGATTGTCGGCTACCGAGCAGAAGTACCACTCCACTAAACTCGAACAGTTGGCGGTTGTTTGGGCCTGTGAGCGGTTCAGACATTACCTCTATGGAGAAGAGTTTGAAGTAGTGACTGATTGTGTGGCAGTTCAGGCGCTGAAGAGTAAAAGAGCAACCTCGAATCAAATAGCGAGATGGCTGTACAAACTGGCCGAGTATGAGTTCACTATCACGCATCGAGCAGGAGAAAGAATGCAGCACGTGGATACTTTTAGTAGGTATCCCGTCGAAGATGCTCCCATCGAAGAAAAAGGAGTTGAAGATCGAAAGAGGGTGGTGAAAACCTTCGACGAAGCCACCGCAATATTGCAGTATCAAGACAAAGAGATTGGCAGAGTGGTTGAGGCGTGGAAACGTAAAGAGATCCAGCGTAGGGAATTGATGCGAGCGCAATTCGAAGTCAAGAACGGAGTGTTGTTCCGCAAGATGGAGATCGAGGGACGGGAGAGATTATTATTTGTTGTCCCGAGAGCAGCAAGAAAATGCATTTGCGTCTTGATGCACGAGCAGTCGGGTCACTTCGGAAAGGACAAGACGATGGCATTGATTCAAGAGAGATACTGGTTCCCAGTGATGAGGAAATATGTCCAGCAGCACCTCAGACAATGTATAGAATGCTTGTATAATGAGGAAATCACTGAGCGTCAAGAGGGTATATGCCACCCGATCCCGCCTGCCAGGAGACCCTTCCAGAAAATCATGATCGACCATTGCGGTCCCTTCCCTCCGTCGGCTAGCAAGCAGCACATAATAGTGCTCGTGGATAGTTTATCCAAGTTCGTGGTTCTTGAAGCAGTCAAGACCACCGAAACGAGGTATGTCATCGTATTCCTGACGAGGATCTTTTACCAATACGGGCTCCCGGATATCTTCATATCAGATCCGGGAACAGCCTTTACGTCTAAGAAGCTTCAAGAGTTCGTCGCAGAAAAAGGGAATCGACATGTCAAAATAGGCGTGCAGCACCCTCAGAGCAATGGACAAACTGAGCGGATGAATAAAACGGTGGTGACAGTCTTACGGATTCTGTGCCATCATCCAGAGGAACGAGACTGGTTCGGTAAATTGGAAGCAACGGCGCATTTCATTAATCGTAGGGTTGCGAAAAGTACGAACAAGTCGCCATTCGAGGTGCTCTACGGTTATCTGCCGAGAAGGGATAACTTCTCGTTGTACGTCGATGAGCAGCAGACTTCAAAAGGGTGGAATCCTCCCCAGTCATTGAGAGACGAAGTTACTCATGCAGTCACGCTCGCGCAGAAGGATTTCTCGAAGTATTATGATTCTAAACGCAGGCCACATACGGTGCGTTACTCCGTTGGATATGGAGAAGTCGTCCGCAGACTCCCAGTCGCCACGGGATTACCGACGAAATTGCAGCCAAAGTTCCGAGGACCCTTAGTGGTCACAGCAGTATTAGCAAATGACTCATACCAGTTAGCACAGCTCGGTGGCAGTAATTATATGACTACTGCGCACTGCTCGCAAATCAAACTGTTTAAGGTCGCTCAAGAGGTGGGAGACGTGATCGTTCCACATGAAACCGATTCGGATGATGAGCTCGATGCCATAAACCCAGACGATAAGCATGGTGAAGGAGAAGTGACTTTTCAGGGAGAGTCCAGGCAAAACCCCGAAGCTCGTTCAAGCGCAACGACAGAAAGTTCAGTCGAGACAGCCCCGTCGCAGGAGGACAGTGTCCCAGGAATCAGGGATAAAGAGACCGATGAGACGCTTTCGAGGCTCATGGATAGCTGGGAATTGAAGGACACCGAGGATGGAGTGAGTCTGGACGACGCGTTTGTGGAGCCTCCGGAGTCACCGGGAGCGCCTAGCCCATCGACGCAGCGAGAGGTCAACCGGAGGTACCCGACGAGGAAACGACGTCAGCCCGAAAGATTTGGGAAGTGATGTCATGTAAGGTAGTCCAGCACATTGGCGAAGCGAGGTAGAGATGATTGAATATTGCCGGGATCGAATGCTGGGGCAGCATTAAGGTCGAATGGCTGAACTGTCAGAGGCCAATGTCGGAGTATGATTATAGCGACATCTAGCGATAGCGATAAAGAGCTAGCAGACGATGTCTTCACGATACACACAGGCGTGTAAGCACGTAGCATAGAGATCAGGAGCGATCGAGAATAAAGTCCACCTCCTAGAGTGAAACCAGTTTCGAGAATCACCCAGTGCGACTCTTGATATTTCTCAGTATCTAGCTCCACGCCAGGACTCTCTTACAACTCGAACGATAAATGCGACCAGAACGTGTCTCAACCATGACAAGACAAAAAAACCTTTCCCTTGTCTTCCAAACAAAAAAATCAGAGAACACGGATGAACTCGAAGTGGACTCAGCAAGCCAACGAAGAAATGAGCCCAGAAGATCAATTTAAACTCTGAAATCTAAGGGTCAAAATACCTTTCCCTTACGAAACATCCTGACTCAATGAAAACGAAGCTACGAAAATAATCTAAATCAGATTTGTTAGGAATTATTTCAACTCCGATCCCTCGAGACAGACTCGGAGGGGAATGCCGCTGAAGCCTTTACTCCTCAGTATCCCGGGATCCGAGATATTGGGGAAATTACTTCTCAGCTCCAGCTACTTCTGTCTCCAGAACACGCCGTCGCCGATCTTCGCGAACTTTCTGTTGGGAAATCACCTCTGTTTCTGTGAACGAGGCCATTCCCATTACTGTCTCAAAAGTTTTCCAGAAGTTAGTGTCTTTCTTGACTTAATTACACTTGTTCATATGATAATTATGCTTAAATATGTAAGCCAAGAAACCCTGATCTAACTGATACAGAAAAAGACTGAATAGTCTTTTTCTGGAGAACTCGTTCCGTTTTTTCACTGTAAGGGTCTATGAAACCCGGACGGTCCATAAGACACATTGAAATAAACATCAGACACAGATTCTTCTGTCACACGCAATCCTTGCGTCCTCATTCTTGAGAAGCACCTTCCCTACCAGCCCTCGACCCTCGGAGATCATCTGAACATTGTGCCGAAACAACTCTAAACTCCGGACAGCGGACTCCTGCCGGCTGAGCACCTGCTTTGTGAGCTAACACTCACTGGGATCCTCGCGGATTACCCACATTCGTTATCAGCACGAGTGTACTCTACAGGAAAACTCCAACCTCCGAGTTTATCATCACCGAGGTGAGTCGAGAGGTCTGTAATACTCTTGAAGGATGCAGCGCGATACCGCGATCACGCTGAACGT